AGTCGCGACGCCGGGAACGACGCGGCCGACGCCGACATTCTGATCGAACACGACCGACGTGCGAGTCTGACAGCTCCGTCGGGGATCTGAGCACGATTTACAACCAGGGAAGTGTCTCGGGGTCTCTCCTAGTCGAAGCGAGGTTAACGACACTCCCTTCGGGTAACACAACACCAATCACCCGCGCAACTGTTTGTGTACCGTTCACGCGGGCGACACCACGACTACGTCGATCTCTGACGTGTTGGCCATCACAAGTCTCTCGGACGTGAACGAATCGAACGTGCAAATAGCCACGAATTCGCACGCGATCATTCGCATTCGAGACCCGTACAACTTTACACGGAACCTACGCTTTACCGACTGACAGCCGGACAAGTCGGAAGGCACAAGTCCGCGCGCACTTGCGCGATGATTGGTTCGTTCTCCTTCCCTCTACGAATCTTCGCTTCGCCATCTGTGAATCGTAAGCAAACGACTTACTGGACTTGTTTCTCCGCCAGTGTAAATCGAGTCGGTGAATTGGAGAACCGTACACATCCCTGCAATGTAGCCTTCTCGTCGTTACACATTGTTGAACGGAAAGGAACCATCCACATTTTCGGTTTCGGTTTTTGGAAAATGTAGAAAAAAATCTAACCTCCAACTTCCTGTCTCTGTATACACACTATGGGCAAATAGGACGAGTAACGGAACACTTCCTATGTCTGCAGCACATAACAGAGTGTATTAAATTATTTATCTCTTTTACAGGACTGACTGCACGAAATTTTTTTCCTTTATGGTAGAAATTATTTAATTTTAAACAATCTAATATATTAATACTGAAGTGTAAAAAATATTAATTTTATATTTGGTTCCAAAAATTTAAATAGTAATTTCTACTCTGGTGTAATTTAAATTCAAGGTATTCTTTGGCTCTGTAATCAAGAACTTTATATTGTAACATATGATTTAAAAGTGACATGTAAAAAACATGGTTTTAGAATTATTACCATCAGAATGTTATAAAAGCATACCTTGATCAATTATGATGATTTTATTCATTCATCTGTAAAATTTGGTTGTACAAAGCTATTAGTGTGCTTTTATTAATTCATGTGGGTAGATTATGGATGTTTATGCTTTTATGCTATATTGAAATTTACAATATATACAATAAATTTACAATAAATTATATAATCTATAAACCAGCTTATAGATTATGTGATTTATTTATATTTTGCAAACCTTGATATATCATAGGTGTATAAACATCCACGGTCTACATATGACACTGTGCTACATTCTATAAATATGTCTTATTACAAAAATAATAGTAAGAAACAAATAAAAGTGAACTTACGTAGGTATATGTATATAGTGTTAAGATCATGTATTTGAAATTAGTTTAATAATGTTCAATCATATTTAAAAGCATTTTTTCACTGCTCTTGGAAAACATACATTTGTCATATTATTTAAGATATTATTGGTCACATAGGTTAAGACTTGATATCTGTTTTGAAAAACACATTAGAGTCATTCATGTTTAATAGCCCAGATTTATGAAGTCACATCACAAAAAATACGAAGTTGAAATTAAACAGTTTTATATTAAGACATGTTAATATTAAATCACAGAAATATTAATTATTAAACTCATCATTAAAGCAAGTCAGTATCAAGTTCAATTTATTTTTTATTTCAGAAAGCAACAATGTCCAGTGTATGATCATATTTTTAAACAATATAATGATGTATTTTATAGCTGCATTCAGACAGTTATGTACATATTTTTAGTGTAATGTATTCCTTGTGTACCCCAAAAGTTACATCAAGTTTTGCAACTTCGATTTGACTTGTAAAGTTTGAAAAGTGTAACTTAATATACACTGACTCCAGAGTTTAGATATATGCAAATGAATGTGAGGTAACTTCAGTAGCTTTTTTACAGGATTCATATAAGATTTATACAGAGTTTTTTACATCTATTTTGCTCCTGTTATTTTTGTTCAGCTCGTTCATGTCTTGCCATATTTCAATGATTATATTTACAGCGTATTAAATCTATACAAGTTAGAATCTGCAGGCTTTGAAAACATACCTATGATTGTTTGAATATTAGAAAGAACTATTTAGTTATAATATTGCATTCAGAATTCTCAGTTTTATGATTAGTGTATTTCTCTGTTTATCTTATCTCATTTTATCTCCTTTTCTTTTTCACTAATTTGTAATTGAAACTTGGATAAGAGTATGATAATTGATTGTCAAGATAACAAACAGCAATGATTTGGAAGAGCATACAACTTTTAAAGAAATACTCATAAAAGTTTTTTAGGATCTATTTGATTAGTGCTCAAGTCTACATGGAAGTGTATTACTCTCAATTCTTGCAGTACTTATCAAAGATATGAATCTGTCCTATTTAGGTTTTATTGTGTTTAGAAGATTACAAGATTACTTTTGAGAGTACAAGATATTTATTTAAATAATTGAATACTGAAATATATAAAAGTTTCTGAATTTATTATCACCTGGTTATTACAATTTTCACAATGATGAAAAAATGAACTACTTCTTCCAAGAACTTAATATATTTCTTTATGAGTTAGTGATTAACTTTTAATTATATAATATTTTATTATTTAATTGATTATTATGAATATATGACAGTAAGAGGAAATGTATTATTCCAATGATTGATTTAATAAAACAGTGTTATCAGTGCCAGTTAGAGGAGGAAAGCCGTACTAAGAAAATGCAAAATATTTTCTTTTGTGAAGTACATTCACAAAAGTGAAATTCATATTTACGCGCGCCGCTTATAAAAAAGTGGCACATCTCACGTCATCTAGTGGTGAATATCAGTACTACTTAAATAGAAAATTGCGATTTTATTTTTAAATTTATGACGTTTCCGCAATTGTGATATAAGTATGGTATTCTATGACCTACACGAAGCTGAAATAATACATTCTTAAGCGTTACGTCTAATTTTAAATGACTACAAGCGTTAGAAATGAATATTAAACAAATTCCATTTTATGGATTTTAAAATGTATGGCTATCTAGCGGTAGACGGTGAAAAGTAACAAACTAAATATCTGTGTTCAATGTTAAAATCAAGATAGCAATTCCTGTATCAATTCATTTTTTCGACACAGGAACACTTTTAATATATTCTGAAGCTATGTTGGACATCTGTTTTGAAAATATTTTTCTACAGTAAGTCGGAAAAATCAATATTTCAAGTTTAGGGTAAAACTTCGAAAAACAGTCATACTCCGATATTGACCAAATGTTGTGCTCTTTTTTGCAAAAAAAGATATATGCGAGAATGGTTTTCAGCGATTCACAAGAAAATTTTGTACCATTCTTATGTCGTTCCCTATATCATCGACGAGATACAGTATACTATGTGAATTATTCTGAACACTTAATCCCTCAGGAATATATTGCAAGCTGCATAAAATCAGTATTAATAGATATATAGCATATTAATCAATAAAATCAATATTAATTGAATCGAATAAGTATCGTTCACTGGGAGACCATTCTTTATCTTCATCGAATTGTCTTTTATTTTATCTGCATATTTAAGTTTACAAGACAACACAGATTCTTTGATAAATTTTTCTATAGAAATATCCAATGGAATACCCTTAATAATTTTTCAATTTTATTATTCAAAATATAAAATTCCCATACTGTTTTCTGCGGATAATTTTACAGTCCAGGAAACGTACTATTTTTGTATTCTCGTTTGTAGCGGTCTGAGGAAGTTCTTATGCCATTATCTCAGTTCCAAAGAGATAAGAGAGTAATATGTGACCCTCATATATGCACAAAATGCATTAATTTTTCAGAAAATCGTAATATTGTGATTTTATATTTTTTCCATTCATCGCTAGATGGCACAATCTGTACAGTTTTGGAGCTAGTTCAATAAATATCGATTTTTTCGACTTAATCAGCATTAATATACATCAAATGTTAATAATAATTTGCTTTAAAATATCTTAGGAAGCATAACATGTGGTGACAGTTACGAAATATGACTTTTTATGATTTCCTCTTATGCGTATTCGAATATGCACTTTTTCGATTAGTTCAAATGTTTCGTCACTAGATGGCGCCACACGCGCCGGTTTTTTTTTTGTAATTTTTTGTAAGAACTCCACCTTACCGATGTATGTTAAATATGGTAAATTGATTGATTGATTGATTATGTTGTGGGCGTCGACTACTGTGGTCATTAGCCCGAAGTATGGTAAATAGTTAGACGTTGTCTTAATGTGTAGGTATCCTTAAAGTTTATTATCACAGTGGCTGCTATTAGTCTGTGACTTTACAATAGTTCATTGAGTTTACTAGTACTAAAAATAGCTCACTAACTAATTACAAAGTTTAACTATGTTATGGCATATCTGTACTTTAATGTCTTCCCGAAAAGTGTCATTGTAATCTCGTAGAAAATTCCCTTACCAGAAAAAAACGTTGAAATTCATGGCAGAAAAAAGTACACTTTTCGGCGGGATGGTTGAGCGGAAGTAGGTGTCAACACATTTTCATAGCCCGCAATTATATGAAAGCAGAAAACAGTGATACTAGTCTATTTAAATATTAATTTATTTTTCGAAAGAATTAATAAATTTTTTTTAAGTTTTTCGTGTACCTCTTCATTTACTATGATTCCTATAAACATGGTTTAAGTAATTCGTCATTTCTGTACTAAGCTAACGTCGATCGTCAACTCAATCCTCCAAGAGAATTACAACCTCAAATTTATTTAGCAATTGCTACATTAGAATGATTTCTTTACCCGCGGGTAAAGCATCGAATATGCAGTTTTGAACTTAAATTGCAGTTACATATTTGCAATGGTATGACTTTTATATATAAACTCTATTTTTAATTTATTTATACCCCATTTTGTAAACTTTTTGTAATCTTTTTCTTGCATATTATTAACAGTGTGGATGGACATGACAGGTTAGCTTCGCAAAAAGCGATGGACGCAGAACTGAGGTTTTCTTACAGGCAGAGTAGCGTAGGATTTTCGCCCGAGCGCCTCGAGTTTGACGGCAATGTAACTGTTCTTAGACAATTGTATGCAAAAACATTTAAAACAACTGCAACAAATCATGTAATTTATTTGCGGTTCATTGTATTATTTAACTATTTTTTAAATTTTTAAATCCTTTCGTCCTGCTATTCGATTGCTACTTATGGTTATGTTTTGAAGAACTGTACAACTTAACTTTCTGTTAGCTAAAGATATATATATATGCGAATGAGGTTTTATGTTTAATATGTTGCGTTACAATTATTACGTTATAAATCTACTCAAACTCCTAAAGCATTTGAAATTCAGTCTCGAACTTGGATCTTGAAAAATTGTAAGTTATTAGCAATAATATAATTATTAACAAGAATAAGTGTTAGTAGTAATATTTTCATACACTTTTCAAGAAAACTTTTTATGAGGACTTTAATAATTTCTTTTTATAGTTTCGGTATTTAAAGATTTAACAACAATAGAATAAGTTATGCAAATTAATTTTTCCATTAAATTGTTAATCATTTTAAAAATCTACTTTTGAATTTTCTTCAAATTACCTGATTGATATTTTATAAACTTCTTTTTTATACATTGTTAATTTTTTAATGTAAATTTCCATCGATAAAAGATTGTTGTTTTAGAGACATCGAGCAAGACGTTCTTTGCATATGTTACACGGAAACCTATGAGTTTTTGGCAGCAGGTCTAACGGACGGGACGGTGAAGTTGTACAAAACGAACTCCAAAGGAGAGAACTTTCAACTGCGTGATATAGAAATCACACAGAAACCAAGTCCAGTGACGTCTATTAAACATAGGCCTGTTCACAGATCTCATCCAATCACGCGAACCATTATTGCGACTTGTTAGTGCTAATTGTAACGAATTTCTGCATAACTTGCATCAATTTATCGAATCAAGTAACATGAACCTCAGAATATTATCTCCACGATGATCGTCCACAAGTGGCACCCTCTGTATAAAACTATCTTATTTCAAAATCTTACTTTAATTGTATTAGTGTCTACATATTTTAAAATTAAAAATAAAAAAATAAATGAACGAACGATTAAATATAACTTAATATACTAATATATTAAAAATGATTTAAATTAAATATCATTTAAATTATCGCAGATTTCAAGAAACATATTTTTACAAATTTTGTAATTAAACAATGAACTTGTGAATTGGTCAAATAGGTTTAGTGGCTTTAATACTAAAATAGAATTTCGTTTAAATTAAGATTTTCCAGATTAGTAGTTGATGCATAAATATTGACAAAAATCGTATATTGTTTATTGCTAAATTAAGAAAAATTGTTGCACAAATTATGTAATTTAGAGAGCACAGAACAAAAAATATTTGGACGATCGTTTAGTAGGTTTATTTCTTAAAAGTTGTCACGTTTTCATTGTCGTTATTATATTTAATTGTTGCAGATGTTAATGGATGCGTGAAATGTTGGCATTATCCAAGTTCCCAGTGCTTGTACACCATACGAGAAAAAAGACAGACTCTTGGCTTGGCTTATCATAATCATCTGCCGAAGTTTGTGACTGTTGGCAATGATGCAAAAATCTTTTTATATGACGAAGAGACTAAAAAGCTGGAAAGAGCTTTCCAAGCAAGGTTTGTTTTTGCAGCAAACTATTTCATACCTTTTCAAAAAGAAATATTCAAATATACAATGAAATTATTAGGTAATGCCCAGATTTTGCACTGATTTTTTTCTTTTAATTAAAGCAGTGTTAGGTTATAATGTTTTAGAGCTTTACATTGCCAATTTTTTAAATAAATTACATCAAGAAATGATTGAAAATAGTTTCTAAATAATCTTTTTAAAAATGCAAGGTTGGTAGTATGTCATAAAATATGGAATTTTTTAATTTTCAAATAATGTTCTTAGAAAAAGAAGTTTTTTATCTTAAATAATCTTACATTATTCTTTCTTAGAAACAGGATTTATATTTACACATTTAAAGCATTTCAAAAGTCTATACCTTTCAAAGTTATGCGTTAGGTTATGTACACTACCAACCTTACATTTTTAAAAGGGCCCTTCAGAAGACCTACTATACCAATATTTTATATCTCATTGAATAAAGTATTTAAAATATTTAATAATAATAAAACTATTAATTCTGAAAACGCTACATTCATATTAAAGGAATTAATGTCTGATTTTCTTCTGCACAAAGATTACTTAGAAATAACAATTTAGATTAGTTTCAATTATTTATTTCAATTTCGGTAATACTCATATGTAGTTCTTAAAACGGGTCAGAATATACAATCTTTAGATCCTATGGGGAACTTATGTGTGAGTTTTATGGCTGAATTTGATGAAGGCACGTAAAACGCTTGAAATAGGGGAATCCCATAATTCAGGGTGTTGTAACATTTCTGATATTTCTATGTTCTGATTCCACGTGTAATAGCTATCATGGTCATGCTTTCATTTACAATCTTAATTGTAACAATCATTCTTACCGATAATCTCATTGTTCATCATGGCTAGGCTATTTTACAAACACCTTTTTTACAAATTCGTTTTGAGAATTAAATATTTTTCAATAACAATATTTTTGCTTATAATAATTAAAACTTGTAGTCATTTCACTCATTGTCAGCACTATCATTTACAAAAACTCTGTGTAACAGTACTTCGATTTACAATCGCTTTTATCAAACTTGTTATCTTTTAAAGCAATCCCAATCATCGTAATCCTAACCTAAACACACTTCCCTGTTCCAGCGAGTCCTTGGAAGTTATGGACGGTCACAAATCCAGAGTTTTTTGCGCGTGTTTTAATCCAAAATCGGCACACGAGTTAATCAGTGGCGGATGGGACGACACCATTCAGTTCTGGGACACCAGGCAACCTCATGCTCTTAGACGGATATCCGGTGTCCACATATGTGGCGATGCACTGGACATCAGCAAGAATGGAAGAGAGGTCCATACAGTTAGAACTCAAACTCGTCATGGTCATTCTCAAATCTAATTTACATTTTCTTAATATTAAATTATTTCCCATTGAGGTGCACTTCTCATATTTGACAACAGTTTTCAAGGTTCATTGCCTAAAGCTATCAGAGATCAAATGAAGCATAGTTTAATTTTTTAAATCCATCATAGCCGATTGATCCTTGATCAATTTCTTTCTTCATACTCGCATTTATTTTGTTCTATTGTCTCTTTCTACCATTTTTTAAAAGAATGAAGCACAAGTGTAGAATGGTATAGTAAGCAAACAAAACTTAAATTAAAAAGGCAGAGTCACTAAGTAAAAAAAATCACTCAGAATACAAAATCATTTAAAAATTATTCCTGTGATCAGATTCTATCATGCGCCTGGCAGAGGGATAATTCAATCCAATTATGGGACTATGGCAGTGGAAAACACCTGGTCACCGTAGAACCTGACAGTTACTCTTCTCTACTTTATTGCGGAAAGTACGTGACGAACATGTTTCTTGCTTGCGGCGGTTCTGACACTAATCTCTTCAGGGTGGTCGACCTGCGATCTCATGCGGTAAGCTGGACACTCTAGGGCAACCATACTCTTGAGCAGGCTCTATTAGCAAGCTCCAGCAGCTTATATATGATCTTCATTGAGTCGTTTTTACATATAGGCTGTCCATGGGCAAATTAGCCTACATTTTTATTTTACAGCTACTCGTTGCGCACACTAATGTCTAACGTTTTTTCCGCAGACTTTAGCTATGGTCAGGAACTTGACTGGAGGTACGTACAGCTTCGACATAGGTCCAGTGAATCCGAAATACGCAAAGAAAACAAGAACCGTCTTCGTAGTACCACAGCTGGCATTCTGCGCCGGTAGACATATCTTCGAGATAGATGCTCAGCCCGGATGATCTTTCTTCTATTTCAAACGGATCTCTGTCCATGTATACTTTTTGAGAATTAAATATTTTTCTAAAAAAGGAACCCAGTGTTCGTGGCGTGAAGATAAAAAAGGAGGTCGAGAAACGATGAACTGTTTTCTTTATTTACTTTTCAGCTGATTGTTCCAAAAATAAGGAGACAACGAACGTGGTCCGTTTGCTGGCGAGTTTCAAACGCAAAAGCACAATGTTGGGCGATGTAACAGTTTCTTTTTATTCTAATTCAATGTGTTACAGTTCAATAGCATTCGCTCTCAGGATCGCTTGCCGCTTCAAATAACCTCGTCCGAGAGACAACAGCGGTTAGAATGAACGTATGAGAAATTATCTGCAAAATTATCTCAGTAATAAAATATATTTCTACACACACAGTCGTCGCGGATGCATCTTATCAAAAAACGAGCCTCGCATTCATCATAATCATCATTATCATCATCATTAAGGGAGTATAAAATTGGTCGACATGGCTTTGCGAACGCAAACAGAACGAACGGGTCCGATGATATGTCTGAGAACGACGAACGACCTGGAACGTGGTTCCAGGATCGCGTTTTCTCATTGTACTTTCTCCAGTTGAACCTTCGACGGACAATCGTCGTCACTGCTCGGTAAATAGATAGATGGACTGACAGAGAGAGAGAGAGGGAAAAGAAAAAAAAGCGGTACGTACGGGAAATCAATCAGGTCGCACGACGATGCTATAATTACACGTTGAATACAAAGAGATTAAGGATCGATAACGATTGGTCGATCAGTCGGCCGGGTCGTTCGAACGACCCGGAACAACTCCGGGAAAATAGACAGAGTTTTCGCTACTTTCGTCTCCTCACATACTGTGCACCATCCTAATCACATCGTTCGCTCTAAAATACTAATAGTACAGCTTAACGTTACACGTCGTCCCGAGGTGTCTCATTATTTTTTTTTTTATGTATACATACAATCTGTCGCTTGCGCCTCGGCGATCACAAGAAAACGGAAGTTGAGAGCCAACGTCGCGCACGGGCCACGGACCCCTTTCGTTCACAGCCTGACCGGGCCCCTTCGTTCCGACGAAACAGGCAAACACTGGCCCCAACTTCCGCGGCTACGTCTCCGCAGAACATCACACGTTTGATTCCAAGCCCATTTTTGCTGTTTTTGTTAGGTTTAAAACGACACGTCGTAGGAGTAACGGTTTTCTCTTCCGCGTCTTTCTAATTGTTGCATTTCCAGCTTAAAAAATAATTGAACTAAGGGCAGGCCAAGACACGTCTGACGAAGAAGGAACATAAAAACGCGTTGAACGACTTTACACGTGCCTTACGAAATACGCAACGGGACAGCAAGGCAGGGCACCGGTTCATCTGTTCGACGTGAACACGACAAGTCTTTGTTTGCGTCGTGTGTGTGCAAACACACGAATTGAAAAGGCAGTAAAGAAACACATTGGAACAATTTTGGACAACAAGTATCCGATGCCGTGCCTTATTGTCACTCGTTTTTTAGCACAGGACTCTCGCAAATAGTAAAATTGTACATCGAAGATGGTGGGAAGCGAATCTAAATCCTGTCCCCCCGTCGATTAGTCATCGAGCTCGAAGAGGACGATCCTCGACTCGTTGGCATCAATAGAGATCACACGGTTTCATCGTGGCCACGATAACAACATACCCATGCATTCAGGTACGCGCGCTCTGATTCGACAAAGGGAGAAAACACGTTCCCCTCCTACATGGTGTTGTAAACTGGACTGCTGTGCCTAGGCCTGACCTGCAGCCTGGCAAGAGGATGCGTCCTGCCATGCTGTTGTTGCTTCTTGCTAGCTGCCACGACACCGGACGAGGGAACTGGTGGCCTGCCAGGTGCTTCCGGTCCCTCCGGGAACAAAGGGGACGAATGGTTGTTGATCATGATCGGCGCGGACCTTCTACTGTACTCGGGTGTAACTTTGGTCTTCGCCGAATGCTGCGTGTCCATCGGGTCCCAATCCTTGTCCTTGTGTACGCGCAGCTGGATCTCCGAGGACTTCCTAGAGTCTGGTTTCACCTCGTACTTGCCGACCAGGACCCTGACCGACCGGTCCTCCGAGCTGTCCTGCGAGGACACCGGTATCTCGCTCGGCTTCTCCTTCTCTTTGGTTTCGGACGGGGTCTGAATCTTCGATTCATTGTGAGGGATCACTGGCGACGAAGGTAAACTCCTGATCTTCACGTCCCTCTTCGGTCGGCTGACCATCGACGACTCCCCTTCGAAACTGCTCTCGGGACTCTTCTCCAGCTTAGTCGATTTCGCCTCGAACTCTTTCTTCAGGTTCTTCACGATACCGGAGGTGCTCCGAGGACACTCGGCATCCGGGGAGTCGTCCACGGACAGACAACGCTTATTGAATATCGACTTGTTGCTGAGGTTCTCCAGCACCATCTTGTGATGCTTCACGGAGGAACACTGGGTGGTGTTAACTACACACGGACTCGAGGTTTCACTTTCCGACCTGCAGGACCTTAAGGATGAGGGGAGATCCGAGTCCGACGATAAAGAGGATGGCGCTGGGGCACTAGTGGACAGTCTTCCGATCTGACGAACCGACGCGGGCGAGATGTCGATCCCTCTTATGGGACTCGGGGAGTTTCTAACGGGGTCAACTTTTAGGTTATTTTCTTGGCTAGGCGAGGAGTCCCTCCTTCGCGGCGTGGGAGACGCCGTGTGATGCAGGAGTACCGGATTGTAGGAATCTTCTTCAACAGGCAGTCTGTCCTTGTCTTCGGCATCGGAGTTCTGGGTGCAAACACGCTTTACGGTTCCCGACGTGGTGTTCTCCTCCAGTTTCTGCTTGGTGCGCTTCACGGTGCCCGGGTGCCAAGGTATCTCTTCCTTGTCATAAGGGAACAGACCACTGGAACCGAGCAGATCCGAAGGTCGCATGTCGTACGAGCCCCAGGAACTATTCCTCGAGGGTAACGTGGCCCATGAGCTGTGCACCGAATTATTATCTAGAACCACGGCACTGTCGTAACTGCTCCAGGAGCTTTGTCGACTCGGAGAGTCCCTCGTGACCGGCTCCCCTTGTCTCTCCTCGCGATCAAACACTCGGTCGACCTGCGTACTGAACGGATCTCCGTCCTTTTTCGTTTTCCGCGCCAGAGTGCCGGGGTACACCGTCATCGTCGCGACACATTCACTCTCCGCACTCACTTCCCCGTTAGTCTTAGCGTTACTACACGAATTGCTACATGTTGCATCGGATGATGATGCAGTCCAGACTAGACATTCACTATTGTTACCACTTTCCGTCTTCTTAGCTTGCTTTTCGCCAGGGTCCCAAACGTCTTGCTTCACTTCCGTCTGCTGTGCCAAACCGTTCTCGTTCACATCCGACATGGGACTTTGCGGTAACGGTTTGTTGTCAGAGTCCGAGCTCGGAGAAGACGGTTTGCTGCTCACAGCTTCGAACTGATTCGTCAGGTTCAGCACCAAACCCTTCCTCCTCTGGCCCTGCGTCTCCAATTTGCTGACCCTGTTCTTCACGCTGGGTGCATCCGGCGAAGGACCTGGTAGGTGAACGATTTGATTCTGCGAAACGCTATATGACTGCCCGTTGCCACAAGGCATCAACACGTTCCGTGCTTCCTGAGCGATTCCCGGTTTCTGGCTGGTGGAACGAAGAAGATCCTCCCTGGTTACTTCCGTGCTCCCTGCTTTGTCGATGCTTTCGAGGGATTGCGAAAGGGGAACTGCAATAAGGAGATCGGTTAATTAACGGTTACGTTTAACAGAATTTGAGGCTGTTTGAGGTGTCTAGCTCGCTTAATGACAGATTTAAAACGCTTCATACCAGAAGGCAACATGGTTTCAGTGATCTGCACGTTCGGCGACCAACTCTTCGGCCTCTGACTGCTCTTCTTCAGTTCCGAACCTGAAACAGCTTGCAACCCATTGTCCACATTGTCAGACTTCTCTTCCTTCTTGGTCTGATCCTTCGTCGACGTGGGAGACTTCAAGTTCGTGTCCGACTTCGACCTTTGAAGTTTCTCTTTGTTCTTCATGGCATCCAAGATACCCTGATACGTCTCTAACTGCAGCAGGAAGCTGTTATTAGGCTTGATGCAGTTACGCTTCTCCTTCACGTGCTTCCAGGCCTGCGAGAAGTCCCAATTGTACGCTTTCATTGCATACGCGATCACCACTGACGCGGATCTGGAAACCCCCATCTTGCAGTGCACCAACACCTTCGAGCCTTCCTTCCTCGCCTTCGTGATGTACTTGTACGTATCGTCCCAGTGCTTCAGCAAGTCCGTCTTTTCGTCGTCGTATACGCGGACGTTCAAGTACGTGAACATCCCGGGGAAGAAGTTGTCGATCTCCCGAGTAACGTTCAGGATATGCCTCACACTGAAAAAGCCAACAGATATCAAAGTTTAACAAATATATTTATTTTTAATTTGGGTTAGGTCAGGAATGTGGATTATTGTCCTATATACTATTGCAGAGACTTAAGCTGTATCTTTTGATAATTCTTCAATTATTGTTTCTGAAGTATTAGCTCACGGTTGGGGAAGTTCTGTATTAGATGCTTGGTACTGGCTTGAATTTATTTGGTTCACTATTTTGCTGATCAGTTTTAAGTTACAATCTTAATTTTAATTATCACAATTTTAATTTACAAATTGGAACGAAGAATTGACATGTGAAATTATACAAGGATTTTTAAGAATGAAAAGGGTTTCGAAGTTTCATTGGCGTTAGCGTTCATAGGTAGTTTCAGGAAGACAACTGTTATCTGTTTTGGTATTCACAGTTGGGTTAGCAGAAAGGATTGAAAGTGGTATTGCTAGTGAAAGGATTAAGGGTTTTTAGATAACAGGAAGAGAGCAACTAACCCATTCTTCTGGAGCTCCTCTAAGTTACTGGCGTTCCACTCGCTTCCTAAGTAAACGTGGTCAAATATTTCCGTCGGCGCGTCCATTTGACCCAGAATGGTGAGCATCTCCTGATCGATAAACGGCTTGAACTCCCCGAGATCCATGTCGAGGTCTTCCTCGAGACGACCTCGAATGTATTTCGAGGTTACCTCGTCGAGGTCCACCGACATCATGATCTCTTTCAGTGTCGATCGGATCACGCGTTCAGTCTCGTCCCTCTCTCTGGGCCTACGATGTTCAAACGAAGAATATATTACGATTTTGATATATGACGATTTTTGATTACTAATTAAATGGCTAAGTATTTGATCAATGAGAAATATTTCTAATTTGTACTATACAAAATTTTTTAAGTGTACTATAATTGAAATGTCCACCTTGATTCAAACACAACTTAAATGTCCATTATGATTTGAACAATACACTATAACTTGTTTACATTAGGCCGAAAGATTTATTATGGCTTAAATGTTTGTTTTTTCCAAAAATGTACTTTTAAAAGAGTACACAACTTAAATGTCTATTTGGTCCAAACTGCGCAATATAACTTGAATGTTTATTTGATCCAAACTGCGCGATATGACTCAAATGTTTGTTCTGAACCAAATAGTATATCATGACTTAAATATCTACTTTGTTTAAACAGTGCACGTGACTTACATGTTTACTGAGGTCCAAATAATATACTGATTCAAATGTCCACGTTGTATCAAACAGTATACTAAGACTTAAATGTCCACATTGTTTCAAACAGTATACTGAGACTTAAATGTCTACAATAATCTACACAGCATATTATGACTTAAATAATCACATTGGCTTACATAGTAGATTAGGATTTTAATGTTTTTCTTTGTCCAAACAACATACTATAACTTAAACATCCACATTGGCTGAGACAATACACTGTGACCAAAACGGCAACAGTCTATAAAATACATTGACATTTAAATTTCCTAGTGTGTCTGAAAAATGTATCATGACTGAAATGTGCGGTGTAACTGTACTATGATCTAAATGATCACACTGGTTGAAATAGTATGCTAAAATTTAATATTTCCTCTTTCTTCAAATAATATATTATAAGTCGAATGCCCACATTAGTCTAAACGTGCACAACGACGCAATGATCACATTAGTTCAAGTAGTATATGAGTAAATGTCCATATATGTCCAAATTATAACTTAAATATTTATGTTGGTCCAAACAGTGCACTGTAACCCCAATGATTACATAAACCCAAACTAGGTCTTAACAGCACCTATGTTGAAACAATAACATCTGACTTAAATGTCCACATTGATCGAAACTGCACGTTGATCTAAATGACTAAATTAACCCAAATAGTACACTAGGATTTAAATGTCCACCTTCATCTAAACAATATACTTCCACATTGGTCCATAACAACTTATGAACAAAGGGTCTAGCTCCGTATTTCCACTGAACGATTTAATAACAGTGAGTTGTGGGACCATTAATCTCCGATTTTGAAACCTGCTTTTCATGATATAGGTTCTATGTTACGGATCTTTCGCAAAGGAAGGGCAAAAAGGTGAAGAAAAAACTCACTTGGTGCGCACGCTATCCGGCGACGGTGGTCTCCGCGATTCCAGACTGTCCATAGCGTGCCACTCGTTGAGACACGAGCGATCGCTCTCGATTCGTTGCTCATAGTAGCTGACCCAGTCATGTGACAGGCCACCTAGGAAGTAGTTCTGCTCCCGTGCCTTACTGGACACCTTGTGCAACGTCTGCAGCGCGGACCTGCACAGAAATTTAGCCAACAATATAACAAATGAACACCGATCAATCAAATATGTGGTAAAATACTTCAGGGATGTGGTCTAGACTTTGATCATCCAAGATGATCTAGGTTAACCTTTGACTGTTCAAGACGGTGACCTAGGTTGATGTTTGATCATTCAAGATTCTGATCGAGGTTAATCCTTGACCATTTAAGATTGTGACCTAGGTTGAACTTCGACAATTTAAGATTGTGGCCTAGGTTGATGCTTGATCATTCAAGGTTATGAGCTAAGTTAATCTTTAACTGAAGTTTATAGTTGTGAAGCTAATACTTTAGCTGAAGTATTCATAGTTGTGAACTAGGTTGATCTTTGATCATTTAAGATTGTGACCTAGGCTGATGTTTGATCATTCAAGATTCTGATCTAGGCTGATCTTTAACTATTTAAGATAGTGGCCTAGGTTGATCTTTGACCATTTAAGATTCTGACCGAAGTTCTGACCTAAGATCAATCAAGATTCTGATCTCAATACTGTGATTCTATAATACGACTAAAGAATTAGAATGTTCATTTTTAATCTCAATTTTAGAACACATATCGACTATTCGAACACATGGAGTAGAACTTCAAAAATACATTAAAGTAAATATACAAAATTTTAGTAATTGATGCGAAAACCTGACTTCAGATCAATAATCTGAGGAAATGTAAGATAAATCTTCTAAGATGTGTCAAGGTCAGTTACGTTGCAGAAAGTTAACTTCAGATAAACATCCTGAGGAAAAAAAACAGATGAATTTTCAAAGATGTGTCAAGGGCAATTAGAACTGCAGTCATGACGCAAAGGGGTAAGATCAATATGGAGATGTGCGATAAATCTTGGGATATATAAATATCCTCTACGATAGCAGTTATGATGCAAAGGGCTAAGTTCAGATCAATACCCTGTGGAAACATGAGATAAATATTCGAGGATGTATCAAGGTCATCTACGATAGTTCTGATGTAAAGGACTAACTTCAGCCCAGCACCCCGGGGAAATGCGAGATAAATCTTCTAAGGTGTATCAAGATCAACCAGGACTGTAGTAATGACGCCAAGAGTTGACTTCAGATTAATGCCCTGAGGAAATGTGAAATAAATCTTTGAAGATGTATCAAGGTGAACTACAATAGCAGTTGTGATGCAAAGGGCTAACTTCAGACCAATACCCCGAGGAAATGTGAGATAAATCTGCAAAGATGTATCAAGGTAAACTACAATAGGATGAAAAGAGTCGATTTCAGAGCAGTGCCCTGAAGAAATTTAAGAAGATAAAACGGAGACAGATAGCAAAGAGTATAAGTGAAGTGCAAAACGTGGAATGAGATAGGCAGATGAGATAAATGTTGCAAGAATAGAGAAGCATAGGACAGTTATAGAAGACTATATGAAACGAGTGGAAAGTGTGACAGAGTGGAAATGCTGTTGAATAATAAAATAAGTAAATTAAATGGGTATTGTAAATCAATTGACTGCATGTGTACTATGAGGAAGTTCCATCAGTTAAAATGGCGTATAATCAGGTAAATGGATTGAAGAAAGGGTTCTATAGGACAGTTAGAGAAGACAAAACGTTGAATAGCGAAAGAAGTGGACTGCATACGAGATAGCAGTGGGTTGCAGACGTATTATAAGGCAGTTAAACGGACCTAAATGCTGCATAATGAGAAAGGCAGACTAGAACTAGGGTTAGTTAGAGAAGACAAAATGTTCAGTAACGAAATAAGCAGACACTATACTACGAGACAGTCGTAGTGAACTGCAAACGTATTATGAGGCATCTTGTACAGACAAAATGACGTGTAATGACGAAAGCAGGCTAGAAGAGCACTATGGAACAATTAGAGAAGACAAAACGTTGAATGACGAAACAAGTGGACTGCAGCGTATTATGAGATTGTCGAAGTGGACTACTAGCGTACTTAGGGCAATCGAAGTGAAGTAAATGGAGTACAGAGATGCAAGCAGACTAGAAGAGCACTATGGACAGTTAGAGAAGACAAAACGAGTTACAAAGCAAGAGTGCTAGATGCATAATACAACGCAGCTGGTGTCGAGTAATGGTGCACAGCATATTGAAAGCGTATTATGTGACAGCTGAAGTGGATTAACGTACTATGCGACAGTTAGCGCGAACTAAGCGTTTTCTAATACAGCGAGCGAATTGGAAGCGTACTCTACGGCAATTAAGAGCTGTATAGGGTAAAGAGCGGATCACAAGTAGACTCGAAGCGTATTATTGGATGATTAGAACAGTTTGAGTAGTAAATAGTGGAGTGTGTGGATTAGAAGACAGTTAGAGCGGCGAGTAGGGTACGAGCGGATTAAAAACGAATCGGAAGCGGATTATGTAGTAAATAAACGGATAACAAGCGGATTGCAAGGATTTCGATGAGCTCATTTCACAACAATTTTTACAACTGTAAGATTATTATAAGACGCACCAGGTGCGTCAATGTGAACAAACGTTTAACACTACCGATATATGTGTACTTAATTTGAAATTAAAAATGAAGTTACAAAATAAATAAACAAACGACGAAACATAAATTAGTACACACATTTATTCTTTATCTTGATGAAAATCAATGTTGATTTTAACGAACATGTATGTACTTTAAGAAAATGTGTACCTTGTAATAACAAACTTGTGGTGCGGTCATTTGACCAGTTTGGTAGTTTTGGTGTTAAATTTTAAGAAAAATATTTCAGGAATTCGTTTAATAATCGCGAGTAAGAACAAAATACGTGTTTAGAGTGAGTTCTGTTATGTAATATGCTATCCTTAGTTACACACGAAGTTTATTAATATTTATAAACTACGATTGTGATGAAACAATTATACTGAAAAATAGGAACAATTGTTGGCGTATTGGAGTTCAGATGCTTGACACCTTACTGGCTGATGTCTATCAATAGACTTCCTGATGTCAGCGATTTCTGATTGAAATCCAATTAATAATGCGACTGTTGATGACTCATCGACAATTCAATCGATACTTTGCAGCTGATATTAGGGATTACGCCTTTCAAGTTATATTCGTGATAACAACCGGAGTATTTATAAGCTATTTTTAATGTTTTGCGAACAGTTTAGAATTCTTAATGCGTGTTATTCTAATTTTGAATTTTTCTAATTTTTGAAAAATGGCTTTTTATTGTGCAGTATTTTGAAAACTAGTAATTTTATGATGTATGTTGTATAAATAGTTGAAATAATCTTTTTGTGCAGAAAAATATGAATTATTGCGATATAAAAATACAGGAAATCAAATTTTTTAATATATATGTAAAGAAAATACACTGTACTCCCTTAAGGTTATTTGAATTTTCCCGCGCAATAGAGAAGGAGCTAACCAAAGTGACGATATACACGTAGTATATAAAAAAATAAATATATAAATTGAAAATATAAATTATTCAAGGTATAAACATTCAGAATACCAAATTTTTTAAATATACGAATGTAAAATACAAACTATTTAAAATATATAAATTCTAAATTCCTAAAATATACAAATACAAAATATATAAATCACATAAATCAAAAATGGCCAATTTAACATAACATAAATAAAAATAAATAAAAATATTTTATTTTCTCTAAATAAAAATATCAAAAAAAGTATAAGATTATAAGAAATTATTATTTTCTTAAGTAAACGATTCCTATCAAATTATTCAAATGTAATCAAAAATATTCTGCAAATCGGATTTAAAAATACGCAGATCAGTTTTATACCTCGATGTCTGAAAAAGGCGGAGATTGAACATATTTGCTGAATATTTTCGAACTAACAAACCTGAGAGTAAACAAGGTTAAAAGCGCAAATAGAATCGTTTATCTTGAACGAGAACCACTTCCGTTTCCCGCCAAGCGGAAATACTCGGTCGAGTTTCCTCAGCAGTGGTTCTGATCCTTATCAGAGATAGATAAATATGCCGTTCATATCGCAAGCGACTTTATTGCAATTCACTGAATAGTTTCAGGTAAACGTTAGATAATGTACCGTTCGTTTTAGTTACCTTTCGCCGTGTACATATTTGAGGCCATGAATTATCAATTTCTGAAACTGGTAGAATGCAATTTAATCTTACAGAGTGCACTGTCTTTGGAGATTGGGTTCCAACTGTGCATAATTATAGGGGATACCAATACAATTTCTGATAATTATAGAAAACTATGCAACAAATTTTTTCAAAGGAAAATTTGCATTCCCAATTTAACGTTTGCATTCCAATGTTATTATAAATTGGCGGTAGGCTGGTTTCGCTAAATTAGTTTGTGAGTTTATGTGTTTATAACATGCAGCTGAAATTTTATCACTGAAGAATTAACTTGAAAATTTTGTGATTGGATAATGGAAATAGGGTATGGTTTCTGATGGAATATAGGAGCTTATTATATTTAAAATAACACAAAAATACAATAAGTTTTAAAAGACTAAATGAATTTATTATTTAAGAAAAACGACTTGGATGGACCTCTTTAAAATTTGTTAATTACACTTGATTTATGAATATTGAAAATGCTATTCTAAATAACCCACTATATTTTATACGCGTGAAAAATTATAATATCAGAAAAACAATAACGAAGAAATACAGGGTGGCTCGCCACATTTTGCCATCTAAGTTTGCGTCATTATTATTGCTCATAGCAAACAATGTTTTTGATGAAATTGAATGGTTTTGAAGGGGGCATGTGCTGGTGGTATATTTTTTTTGTAGGTGGACGTGTAAAGGACATATGAAGGCCATTAATGTTTTTTTAAATGGAATCACATATTTTTTATTGCATTAGCCGATACTCCTTCATATTCTTTACAAAAAAGTATTAATCTATTTATGTGAAAAAATCATTAGTTTAGGAGATATTTTAATTTTAATGTCTATTTACGGAAAAGGTTCAATGTGGCGACCATTTGCATCAGAACACTTTCTGAATCAAGAAATTAATGACTTACTAACATT